TCTCGAACCGCCAGCCCAAGATGGCGCCGAGCTGGAGGAGAGCCGCGTGGAGAAGCCGGAAGAGAAGGGCGGAGCTTTGGGAGAACCCGCAGGGATTCGGTTGATAACTCCATCCATCGATGCAGCGTCATCGCCGGCGGCTCCGCCTAGCGACGCGGCGGCATCTCTGCCGACCACGCCCTCCTGTCGACGGAAGAGAGAGCCGAGCGGAGGAGTACATCCGCCCCTCCTGCCTGAAATATTGACAACGATGACTCGTAAAGAAACTGATCAACCTGTAGCATCAACCAGCCGAGTCATCAAGCCGCAGAATACAGTTCGTACTACTGCCTATCATGCTCGCTCCAGAACCGAACTACAAGATTTGTACAGGGAATCCAAAATCCAACCTGAGGAAACCCTGGCTGTGTGGTTGGGACATCTGGTCGTAGAGCTTGGATCTAACCTGCTAAATCAAGAGGAAGCAAGCTTCCTAGTCAGACAAGCTTCATGGAGTAGAGGACATGTCACTGATATCGACATGGTGACGATTAACATCCACTGGCCTATTCCCATTCCAGCGCTTGTAGCACGACTGATCGAACAGAAAGCCCACGAATGGCATACAGAACGGCCGGAGCATATCAGTGCAGAACAGCTTGTGCTAGCTATCATTGGAGTTTCGTATTGTGCCTGGAACCCCAGAACATGTGCACTGGGATTAACACCACTCCAGCGAATACGACTGTGGCCTCACCGTCATCTGAGGAACCCTGGAACTGTTCCAGTAACCATCCACAGCTTAGACAGCTGTATTGAAGTTTATGGGCGAAAGAACGTAATAGTTTTGCGGATTCTGCTTAATCCAATGGTTGATCACCCTGTAAGTAGTCTCCTTCGCCAGTTGCCAAGATTGCGTGTCCTGATGGAGCCAAGACCGTCCAGTGATTGGGAATACCAATGACCAACTGAGGTTCCAAATACAAGACACCGTGAGTCCGAACGTCCAGTGCTGCCCCAGAGAACGCAAGAGGAACGATACATGTTCGGATTCCTCTTGCAGCATTCTGGACTGAACAAACGACAGCTTCGGATTTTGGGGGATGCGGGACAGTGGCAACTAGCCTACGAGT